GGTATTTATTTGTATGTAAGGAGTGCAGATGGAGGAGAAATAGATGTTAAGACAGATAATAGCTTCATTCACCAAGAGAGGGGTCCTGGAAGAACGAAGTTTGTTGGGAAGAAGAGTTCAGGTTTGGTTATATTGAATTTAAGACATCTATGGGATGGGACAGACATGGGGAGAAATCAAGTAGGCCATTGTATATATGAGTTTAAATCCTAGACACAAGTTTGGGTTACAAATGTAAAAGTGGAGATCAGCAGTATATCAAGCAAGCTGAAGGGAGTCAATGAGAAAAGAGGACAGAGAACAGACCCCTCCATACACCACCATTTCAAGGAACCTTTGAGAGGAAGGGTCACGTAAAGAAGAATGGATAATACCGCTCCATGCAGTGAATGGTTTATTCAGTAGCCGTGCACCAAATGCCAAATGTCCACCTTTTGTCCCTCCCTTCCTACTTTATTGCCTTAAACTGGGTATCTGCTCTACTCCTCAGCATTGAAAGGGAAGTAAGATATACATCCTCTTAGCAGGTCCCAGGCATTCTGGGCATTCTGAAAGGCTCAGTAATAGTATTGGACATGTAATGTTGTCTTCTTTCAGCTGCTTTAATGGGGCTATATAGTCAAAGCTTTGTAAGTTAGCTGTCTAAATTGGGATTATTATTACAAACATAAATGTTTCCTAATGACAAATTTGCCTGAAATGTATGTAGACCAGTTGCCTTGAACAACACAGAAAAGGAGCCCCTGTATTGAAGTGAACATTTGAAATTGAACTTTTCAGGTTGTATTTGAGGAATCATTGTTAAGCTCTGTTTTCCCACTAAGATCAGGCCTATGTAAGTACTGTGTGCTTTGACCTGCATCTAAGAACGTCTCAGCAGAGGGTGATTTGGCTCTGACTCTGGTTGTTTTTTTCCATTTTCCAACAGATAATTTATCAGTGGTTGAGGAATCCCCACCCCACTGTAACTGGGGCTCTGTTTAGATGGCTTCAAGATGCCATGTCCTACAGATTGGAAGTTCAGAGGCATCATCAGATACTTGTTTGAATGCTCAGTTGATATTAATCAGTATTTCTTCCCCTTCCCTGTCCTCACCCATCTTTATTAACTCAGACAACCACTCAGTTTCCCCTCAAGCCTTTCTTTTTGTGATAGCACACTATTCACGTTGCTAGTTATGTAATGACTAGCTGGCTAGCCATCCCTTTGATGTTCTTGGGTCACCCTTTGGAGAAATAATGCAAGAAGGTGTGACCTGTGAGCAGGCAAGTGGGCAAAGGTCACTGTCCAGGATGGGCACCTCTTCCCCCTATGCTCTTCACTCCAAGTGTTCCCTTTGCATGAATTTGGCATTGCCACCTTCTTAGAACCCAAAACTTGTCCAGAAAGAGGTCCTATGGTATATTTTACAAGATTCAACTTTTACAGCCTGGTTTTGTTCTCTTGCTGCCAGTTAATAAGTAAATAACTCCTGGGTCTCGATATTGCAGTTCCCTCTAGTGTTACTGTGGCTCAGGCTGTAGTAGGGTTTTTTTTTTCCCATGCAGAAAATGTAGACAGTACAGAATCTGACAAAAATGGCAGCTTTTTAAATAGGTTTTCCCATACACAGTCAAAACAAATATGAGATGGTTTTTATCCTTTTAAGAAGGAGAATCCTGTATGAAGATATAGGACCATTCCAGCTCCAGTTTTGTTCCTATTTCAAAATTTTGGGGAGTTAGGAGTCCTGTAGAAATCATTCTTCTGGAGGAGCAAAATCTACTGGAGATGTCTCCATTTCAAGGCAGCCACCCTTTATAAGGAAGGACTGTGAATTCCTTTTAAGAAAGATAAATGAAAATGGGAGGCTAAGAAGTTACTTAGATCCCTGGTAGAGAAAATACTGGGTAAAGGAAGAAGGAAAAAACAGGAAGAGTCCTGTTCATTTGTTCTGGAAAGAGTGGCTTGAGTTTTAAAATAACTTTTGGGACTAGGAATTTGAAGTCAGGTTATTTTGAGGTTTTTTTTTTTAAAAAACTAAAGGGGTCAAGTTATTAACATTTGAAAAATGACTACTATGTGGTGCATAGTACTCTTACCTAAATTAACATCATTGCAGACTCCATAATAAAGATTTGTGAGATCCACATCATTCCTCATTATGGAAATCTCCATAGGTCTGTGCTTTGTAACTGTTTTCATGGTTATGTGCTGCTTCAGAGCCCTAGTATTTTGTTTTCTTCTTTTACACTCTAGTCTTCTCCCTTTTTCCTTTGCCTTTAAAACTAGAGTGACCTATTATTCAGACTTTTTACATATTGTAAAATGAAGAGATGAGGAAGTGTCATCTCCTCAGGTTCACTATCTAGGCAGACCATTTTCCTTCAGAGCACCCAAAATAGCTAGGCAGTTTATAATTTCTCCTTCATATATCACTTTGAACCTTTATCTCAAGTTAATCTGTGAAGCTAAACATAAATTCTTATTGTAGTATCCATGTTCTTATCTACTCACAAAGCTCTGGGGAATCTTATAAAAACGTGTGTATGTATAGATACAATTAGAATATCACGATTAGAATAGTAATCACAATTAACATATCCTCTTTGCTTCTAGTGCCAAACCAGAAGGTAGCAAGTTGTGTGCGGTTTTTGTTTTTTCTTCAGTGCAGCTTGATATAGTGAAAACTACAGATTGACCATATAGTTGTCTCTCTCTCTCTTAAGCCTTAGGTTGGCCTGTCTTGGATCAGAATATAATGCTGGTCTTGGGCTGACCATGGCATGGAAATTTTGAACTCTTCCTGAAAAAAGAGGAAGAGTCCTGTTCATTTGTTCTGGTTTGCTCTCTATCAAACCCATGGTCAAAGAGCCTCACTGCTGGGGCCAGTGACTCTCAGGACTCAAAAGAAATATGCATTTTTCTGTCTTGTTCTCTTTGTTTGCAAGTTGTTAATGTTTTTGTCATTGTCAATGTTACATTTGTACAGCTTTGAGATTTACAGGTATATACTACATGCTTGATCTCATTTAATCCTCACTACTGCCCTATGAAGTAGGTTTCAGTATTCTTAATGTCTCCTTTATTAGGGAGACTGGGACCCAGAGAAATTAAGTAAAATGCCCAAGGTTGCACAGCTAGTGGCGGGGCTAAATCCTAGGCCTCCTAAGTCCTTGGTGAGTGTCCTTTTTATAATATGGCAGCTAGAGTTTAACTGCACAGTCTCATTCAGCCAAATTCAGTGGTATTTGATTGACTTTTCAAAGACTGAGGAGTTGAGCAGGCAATGTGATACTGAGCAAATTATTAAAACTAGGAATGGAGTTAATGGTGATGTGTTTTGTATCCAACTCCACACAACTAAATGATGACTAGTATAGGATTTTTAAATATCTGGTGACACATAAACATGAAATATTATCAATAGTACAGTATAGAAAGAATTCATGTTGTGATTGATGAGTAGATAGGATTATATGTTATATTGCATATGCTAAGACTTTGAGAGCTTTCTAAAGGTAGTATTTTCTGCGAGATAATATGTTTGAACTTGAATTCAAGCTGGGGATATCTCTGTTTCAAGACCAGAAGTTTGTTTAAAGAGGAAATGCTTATTATGCCCTCACACTGATAGGTAGATTGTGGAAGACTCGAAGAAACTCATTTTAAAAGAGAGAGAAAGAGGGGTTTCTATGGCAATGCTCAAGCCTCTAACTATAATCAATGTGTATAAATAGAGTAAGTTATAGAGGGATGCTCCTCTCCCCTTGATACTCCTTTCCCTTTGGTCTTTTCTTTTTTTAATATCTGTTTGAAAAGAAATCAGTATGCTGCTTCTCAAAACTGAGGACCCTTCTAAAAATGTGTCCATTTTTCTTTGTAATAAAAATGACTAAAAAATCCTTTTTAAAATTTGCTTTTTTTATGAAGTACTGCAAATAAACAGGCACTGTAAACACTGCAGAATGCCTGTTGCTGGGCACTTTGATGTCTGTGAAATACAGCAGTGCTCCTGCTGAGGAGGAAGAGCAGAAAATGTGTCCTTCAGTTAACAGATTGTAGAGGAACAGTCCTAACCAGGCTACGGTGACCTAGGAACCTAATGTTAGAGACTGAGTCTTCCATTATCAGCTTCTTCATCTCATATCATGAGAAGAATCCATTTAGGGGTGATGTTATTTTTTGCTTTGTTACCCTTTTAAACCTAGAAATACAATAGTTGATTTAGTATGTAGAACTTTTGGCTAGTGTTTCTGAACCAATGTTCCTTGATTCATAACCACTTAATAAAGTTTCCTTTGAAAGGCCTTATTACCTGAATATTGGGCCTTAAATGACATCTGTTAAGAGAAAACATAAAAGTCAAAATCCTGCCATTGAAATGTTGGTTTTGCTCTGACTAGGTCAGACTACTGATCCTCTCAAACCTTTATCTCTACCTTCGTGAGTGCCTGAATGGTAACAATCATATGACACCCATTGAAAAGTTAGGTAATCCCGTAGTTTATCAGGCCAATTGTATGTCATTCTCCTGACCAGGGATAAAATAAGATATCTTGGCCTACTTTATGAGCCATTTATTGAACTATTTCGTAAGTCTTAGCTGCAAACCTCCACAGAAAGTAGGTGAAAATTATTTTTTGTTGTTCTGTTTCCTAGATGAGGTTCAAAGTATAGTGGAAAGAGCAAGCTTTGATGTTAGACAAACTTAAGTTTGCAAACTGGTAGCACTGGGCTTCCCCCCCCCGTTTTAAAAATTCTTAAGTTCTCAGCCTACTTTGAAGCGTTAGTGTGTGGGCTATAATACACATAAAGTGCTAAGCATGTAGACAGCCTTAGGAAATGGTTACTGCCATTATTACTGTCACTCAACACAGAACTACCCTTTCTGAAGACTTCACTATAGCACTCTTTATTCCTGACTAGTCACCTTCCCATTAATCCTCCTTTACACATCATAAACCTGGTTATGAAAGTGTGTATATTTTAAATTGTGTTCTTTGCTTTCTTCTTTCAGATCTGTAAGAGCAAAGCTAAAGAATCTCAGCAGTATTATCACAGCTTGGCTGTTCGGCAGAGTCTGGCTGTCCATTTTAACATCCAGCAGGACTGTGGTCATTTCCTTGCTGAGGTCCCTAAGCGTCTGCTTCCCTGGGAGGATCCTGATGCCCCTGAAGAGGAAGAGGACGAAATACAAGAGAATGAAGAAGAAATGAAAGGAAAAAATGATGGGAAAACCCCAGAGCCCTGCTTTGAAACAGAGTCATCCCAGAAAGAAAACCCGGGAATCATTAGCAAGAAGCAGAGAAGTCACGTTGTGGTCATCACCAGAGAGGTTCCCTATCTCACGATGGCTGATTTTGTGCAGGACTCTCTGGTTCAGCATCGGAAAAGCCCTGATTCATATGAGAGGCAAGTGTGTCTGCTGCTCTTACAGCTGTGCTCTGGTCTTGAGCACCTCAAACCCTATCACGTCACTCACTGTGATCTACGTCTGGAGAACCTGCTGCTTGTCCACTACCAGCTAGGGGGAACCACCCAGGGCCTTGGGCCTGCAGAACCCAATCCCACCTCATCTTGTCTCACAAGGCTTATAGTAAGCAACTTCTCTCAGGCCAAGCAGAAGAGCCACCTGGTGGACCCTGAGATCCTCCGGGACCAGTCCCGCCTTGCCCCAGAGATCATAACAGCCACCCAGTACAAAAAGTGTGATGAGTTCCAGACAGGCATCCTCATCTATGAGATGCTACACCTGCCCAACCCCTTTGATGAGAACCCAGAACTGAAGGAGAAGGAGTACACTCCAGCAGACCTGCCCCAAATCCCACTCCGCTCCCCCTATTCCTGGGGCCTTCAGCAGCTGGCCAGCTGCCTCCTGAACCCCAACCCTTCTGAGCGTATCCTCATTTCAGATGCCAAAGGTGTCCTCCAGTGTCTGCTCTGGGGCCCCCGGGAAGATCTCTTCCAGATTTTCACCAATGCCCCCAGCCCAGTGCAGAGGAATACCCTGCTCCAAAACTGGCTGGACATCAAGCGAACATTGCTAATGATCAAGTTTGCTGAGAAGTCCCTGGACAGGGAGGGTGGGGTCAGCCTTGAGGACTGGCTTTGTGCTCAGTATTTGGCTTTTACCACTCCAGACTCTCTCAGTTGTATTGTGAAAATTCTGCAACACCGTTAATGTATCCTGGTTGCTGCTCTTCATCTTCATCATCTTCAAGTCACCCATGCACTTCCCCATCCTAGTACTCACCCACAGTTCAAGGAAAGAAGAGAGAAACTGTTCATCCCTGTCCACGAACAAATGAGTCTACTCAGAAAGATTATCCACAGCTCCAAATCAAGTGAGAAGCTGAGTCTGTCTTAACTTCAGAAATTCAACTGGACAAACATTCAGTTGCTTTCCATTGGAGCACCTTTCACCCTAATTGTCCCACAAATGCAGGTAAAAAATGAAAATGAACATTTTTAAAGGGACAGCTCCTTTGATATGAACTCAGTGAGTTATGTCCAGTTGCTCCATAATTCTGAATTTCACCTGTGTTTTTAACACCAAGTTAAAAACCAAGTTGCTATTCTTATTAGCAATAGATAAATTTAACTAAGTCTTACCATCATGCACTAAGCTGTCGCAGCAGACTTTCTTCCTCTGTTACCAGGTAAAACTGCCATCCTTAGTATCCACCCAATTTTCATTCCAGGGACTATATTCTTTGTTCCAGTAGATAGTATAAGGACAAGGAGAGAACCATCCCCTTGGATCATGGACACATTTTCACTTCTGTTACTAATAAGTGGGTGTACTGCATGGAGGATGCCCTAACAATCTTCCCTCTGCTGCCACAGCCTGATTCTACTTCACCTTTACTTTGTCCCCACTTGCCTATGAAGTTTGGGCTTATTTGCTACTTGTGGCCTGTTACAGAGCTAACACAAAGTGGTGTCACCCATTCCTGAGCAGGGTGGAGTGCAGTTTAGATCATATAAACAGCTAGCAGTACAGAAGGAAATGATTTTTCTGCATGCGTAGTTTTCTTGGGGCCACCAGGGAACAGAGTTTAAAGTACCGTTCTTTGATTATTGTCAAAGTTGGCAGCCAAGGCTGGTGGTGCCCAGATCATAGCTTTTTCCCTCAAACAGTAATTGGCCAGCTTTCTTCTATCAGTAGCTAGTATTTACTAGTATTAACTAGTCTACCAAATCCTATAGACAACTGCCCTGAATGAAACAGCTGTCAGTCCACCTCTGAGATCTCGAGATCTTTGAAGGAATGGCCCAGATGGCTATTATAATGACCAAGAGAAGACCACGAATAAGACTGCTGACCACCTCAGAATGCTGACCTTTTCTGGAGCAACTGCCTCCCAGTTGCCCTGGCGTGTTGCTCTTTATGACTCTGAAATGGCTCTAGAGAACAACTCACAGGGAATTTTGATTGCTGAGGTGGGTGGCTGAAAGCTATTTACTGTAGTACATGGGGGTCTGTGCTCCTTTCCTATGGATATGTGTGCAATTTTTCTATGATTTTTTTAGCTGTGTATTACAGTGTTTATGTTGCAACTTCACCTGAAGAAAAATCTTTAGAAATCCTCCCCTTCTTCCCGTGGCACATATTTGCGCTGACACGAGTCTTCCTTCCGTGGGGGGGGGATGTGAGTGTGTGTGTGTGTGTGTACTTGTTTTATTCAAAACTGTGAGTATCTGTTTATTTCAATCTTGCAATCCCAGAAGTCACTTGGACAGTGTGAGTATCCATACACATGTGGGCCTATGTGTGTGCACACACATGCTAGAAGTAGAGAGGCGCCAGGCTTCTGGGGGAGCAACCTGGGCAGAGTTGATAGACATGTTCTCTGTACCTAGTCACTGAGGGAGCCCTTGGAACCCTCATCTACTAGTGCAGGGTTTCTTAAAGTCAGGACTGGCTGTGCAGTGTTACTTAGATAGCATATTAGTGGCCATTTGAAATTTATTAATTTTTAAAAATATATATATATTTTTATTGATTTCAGAGAGAGGAAGGGAGAGAGAGATAGAAACATCAGGGATGAGAGAGTCATTGATTGGCTGCCTCCTGCACTCCCCCCACTGGGGATTGAGCCCCCAATCTGGGCATGTGCCCTGACCGGAAATCGAACCAGCGACCTCTTGGTGCATAGGACAGTGCTCAACCACTGAGCCACACCAGCTGGGCAAAATTTCTTAGTTTTTAAGATTTTTAACAGCCTTTCATGTGATTCACCTGTATCAAAGAGGATTAAGAACAGAAAAGAATGTATTTTATTGTGCTTTTTTTTTTTTTTTTTAAGAGAATGGGATATGAGAGGCTCCATTTGGAGGCTGTCCCTGTCCTCCTGGCCAGCTGTACAGGACTCCCAAGGAGAGAGCAGAGTGACCCACAGAGAGTATTGCCTCCTCTAGCCAGAGTGCAGGGCTCTGCCCCTAGGAGTGGCCACAGAGTAGGCATGTTGCTGAAGGCCAGCAAGCAGCCCACTCTCTCTCAGTGTCCTGTGGCATGGCTGTGCCTTGCCTAACAGACTGGGATTTGGTTCACCTTAGCATAGCCCATGTGCACATAACTCCTTGCCTAATTATACACTGAAGTAGCAGTGCACAGACCACTGACCATGTCAACCAGCACATTCCCTTCCCAGCCTCCCTCCTCACCAACCCCATTTCCTGATGGTTTGCATATTGAGACACTTTCTTAATGTCACTCTTGTGCCTTGCCCATGTAAATTTGAATGTTGACTAATGGGGTTTCATATTTAATGAAGAAAGTTCCCTGGTCCCTCTATTTGTTCTCTAGGTATTCTTTTTCTTTTTCCTGTTTTGACTTGGATCCATTCTTCCTCATTTTAACTCTATAGTACTATTAGCATGGACACCTTCTATCACCATTATATTATAGCACTGGTAAACCAAGCACCCCTTTACATCAGATATGTTTGGTACTGTTTTGATATTCTTATTTGTTAAGGGCAAAAGATGAATGCCGACTATCATAGAAGGGCCTTAGGCTTCCTAGAGACAGGGAGCTATATTACTTTTTCTCTGAGTGATGGCAGAAGAATGTGAGGGGGAAAGGGAAGGTGGTGTTACAGGTTAGAGCCAAATAGACTAAATAACTTATTGAGTACTTCTGGGAAAAGAGCACTCAATATTTGGTCCTCAGAATATTTTTCCAAAACAATAAAATTTAGTCAATCTATTATCTTAAATATACATTTTTTTTGCATTTCTATTTTAATTATAATAGGAACTTTGAATTCACCAACTGAAAAGACACCCTGTCTTCAGACACAGACAGACAGACTATATGAGTTTTGGACCATGACTAGTATAGCACTTTAAGTTTTCTCAAGTAACTAAGTTACTAATAGTGGTTGGAATTTTTTTTCTTTTTTATTGAAATCTGTATTATTATTTCTTCCATTTATTTTGAGAGTTCAAGCAATTAAGCTGCTATTGAAACTTTTCCTTAAGCCACATGAGCAAGAACAATCTCTCTGACACATCTGGGTGCTGGAGAAAGAGGACAATGGCTAGAGTAGGCAAGACCAACACTGAATGAATAGCAAAATGCCATGGTAGAATGATAACCTAGTCTTGGAAGGAAGAGAATCAGATATTCCATAAAGAGGACTAGGACTGTGAGATCTCCCCCATGCTAGCCTGAGAAGAGCCCCTTTGGTATATGCACAGTAATGCAATGCCCAGGCAGCAGTTCATGAAGAGTAACAGCAGGATGGGAAAAAGAGCAGTTGTAATCTGTGGAGTCAATAAAAGAATCATGAATGAGGTCCACCAACCCCTAGGCTAAGTTAGAATTGGAGGCCAGGAGTATGGCCTTGGGTTTCAAGTTTTGCCCTCTGAAGATGAACTGGGGTGAGGTATTAGAGGGGAGCACAAACTCCCACACCACGAATGTTGTGGATCTAAAAGTAAAATAGATTTGTTAGGATTTTAAGAGTCTGAGTAGCTTTTCGTGGTCAGATTAATTGGAGGTCAGTTTTGCTTCCAAACTCAGAATAAGTTTGTGAACGTGAAAAACTCTAAGCCATGAGATTTAAACCTCCAGAAATATTCATGAAATATGTGGGAGTAAAGCTACCTAAAATTGTATTTCAAAGTTTTTAGCATTACAAAATTTCCATGAAAGATCTTTGAGCCCTACTAAGTAGTAGGGCATAGAAGGATTGCACTCATCTTCCCAAATTGGTATTAAGAATATGTTAGTGCTGGGAAGTAACCTGACTTGGTTTTGCTAGTAACCTGCAACTAGGTTTCCCCCTAGATTTTACCAGCAGTGATCTGAAAAAATACATAGAGGCTATTCCTAGAAATTGGGATGGACTTATTTGGGATGAACATACTTGGACAGGGGAAAGAGGAACTTGACTCCCTAGGCCAGCTCTGACATATTTTTAGTCCCCTCACCAGTTGGTAAGGTTTTAAAGTTCTGGTCCAGCTTAATGAGTGAACAGGATGGCTGCCCATGAAACCGGGTTATTAGATTTACCTCCTTGAACCTCATGTTCTCAAAGTGCTGTGCCGAGACATTTGAGTGCTGCTCTTGCAGAAATGTGCACTGAAGTCCAGCTGTCAATGCTTATGGCAAAAAGTGGGGATTCCATAAATGATGCCATAAGGGAAGAGCTGCAGTGCAAGAGCCTAGATAGAGGTTTCACCAAAGAAAGCAAGCCTTTTTGTCCTGATGCTCCTAAAATAATGAGGTTGAGTTATGACAGATACCATGGGAGAATTCACATACATTTCATGTCAAGGTATTTGGCTAATAAAATAATCCAACTTCAAAAAAGTTTTTTTTTTTTTAAACAAATCCATTTTGTGTGTTAGGGGGAAAAAGAGGAAGAAGATGATAATGAAAGCCTTAGCCTTGGGCAGCTTATAAAGTTCCTTTGTAAAGAGGAGGAACTATTCCCTTTCCCCTTGTCATGACTATGGCTGTTGCATGAACATCAGCTTGGAAACATCATATCATGTGATACTGAGGGCTGAGAATTTTTAAAAAGAGATATGATAGTTTCAATAGGTTTGTTTAGAGAACTCTTGGGAAATTTCTTAACATATTATAATAGCTTTTATAAACATTCCTCCAAAGGTGTTTACCACTCATAATCACCATTATTTAGTGTTTTAAGTGCCCAGAATGTACAAGGTGCTATACAGTTGTTAAACACACACTCTGCAGCTGTTTGAAATTAGAGTAGGTTTTTGCATCAGCCACTGCTGGACGCTTTTCCCACCTAGGTGGACTGCAGGGGCTTGTATTCCACACATCTATTATTACATGGTTCCTACTCACCCCCATGTTTTCTTTAAATCACAAAAGTTTCAGGGAATCAATAGAGGTTGGAAAAATTTTTAACCTAGCAGAAGTCATATATTTTGCTATGAGTATTATTGTATTATGGACAGTTCACTTTGCCCTTATAGTGTGTTGAAAGTGTGTGTGTGTCTGTACCCATGATAACTTGAATGTTGAACCAGCCCTAGGCTTTAGGGTAGCATTTTTGAAAGATATATCACACTGCTTCAGAAAACTTACTCCAGATACTACTTATCCAGATACTGTTTATCCCTTCCCTTACCAAGTTTAAAGAGTGTTGTGTGTGGGCACACTGGGTTGGGATTTTCTGTTGATATGCATGGCACTTGTGTGTGAGATCAGGGCAGAAGCAAGATGTATTCTTTCTCAGTGATCTGAATCATCGCAGTCCTCATTCCAATCTCTTTCATTCCCCATGGCTCTGCCCACACTTGAAATATTTGAAAATGTTTCTACTGCTCTTTCCCGAAGCCTCACCTTTCTACTTACATATTTTAGAGTTGTATAAATCTATCAATGAAAGGTCCCCTCTGTCACCAGGTGGTGCTGCCCTTTGTTTTGCTGTGGTACTTTGCTGTGTTCTCTGTGGCATCATGTTTCTGTGTAAATAAATTTGTTTTAAAATACGCTAAAAACCAGAGTAGCACTTGTCCTTTCAGTGCTTCTCCCATATTGACATGTTGGGAAGGGTTTGGTTGCAGACACGGTTATGTCTTAACCCCTAGGGTGCATGCCCTCTTGGATTCTCATCCACTGCTAATCTGGATCATATTTTCTGTTCATTCCCTCTCTAATCTGAGAAGACTAGGCTGGAAGAAAAAGTGAAAATCTCTGCTTTCCCCAGAGCTGAGAAAGCTGCAGCTTTGCTGTGTGTGCTTGCCCCCTGGTGGCCAATCACAATACAACCTTCCTGAGTTTCTACTGTGTTTGGAGGCTTGGTTAGCTGGCTCTGACTGACCCTGTAGAAATCTTCAAGCTGTGCAGACAGTATGAGCATGGGCAGGGCCTTGTAGAGCATCATCTGCTGCAGAATTCACATACCTCTGGCTGTTCCTTAAGGTGTAAAGTCACACAGAGTCCCCACAAAGGCAGACAAGCTAATTTTTAAGTCCTTTTAAAAATTATTTTTATTGATTTTTACTTATTTTTTATTTTTTTAGAGAGAGAGGAAGGGAGAGAGAGAGAAACATCAATGCAATAGACAGACATCGATCAGTTGCTTCTCGTAAGCATCCTGACTGGGGACCTAACCAGCAACCTTGAGCATGTGCCCTGACCAGGAATCAAACCGGCGACCTTTCAGTGCATGGGATGACAACCAACTGAACCACACTGGCCAACAAGCTAATTCATGTGGACACTTCAATAGCAGAGAGAAGACCACCTGGCTTAGGCAGGAAGAGTCAGTAGTTGACAGTGGTAGCAACAGCTGCCATGTTATTAAGAGTGGCATGGATGAAAGTGCAAACATGTAAACTCTAAATTTAAAACAGATTTTAAAGCTCTAAGCCCCTTATGGTGAATACTGTTTCCAGCCCAGCATTGCTGCTTTTCTGCACTAGCAAGCACTATGGACTTTGCAGACATGCTATTTAAGAGATATTCCAGAAAAGTGATTGCCAGACTTGAGTTCTATGTTGCTAAGGAAGCAAAACCCATTTCAGT